ATACCCAGTGTGGCATAGTGCAGTGGTCCCCAACCCTGGGCCTCCAGATGTTCTTGGACTACAACTCCCACAAGCCTTCACCATCACCTCTGCTGGCCAGGATTTCTGGGAGTTGAAGTCCACTGGCCTAGTGGATAGAATGACAGACTAGGAGACCTGGGTTCAAATTCCTGCTAGCCATGGAAATTCACTGGGGGTGTGTAACTGGTAAAGCCACTTCATAAATATCTCATTTATCTTGAAAATCCCATTAGGGTCACTTAAGAGAGTTCCGATTTGAAAGCAGATGACACTCGGAGCACTCGGAGAATGAATTCACTATTAGTATATGAGATTTTCAAAAACTGGAAACAGACAGAGCTCATTGGCACAGAGATAGGTTTGGATGAGAATGTAGTATACTTTAAAAACCCAATATGAAATTAACTTTCATCTGCCCTAGAAGTGGATTTTGATCTACAAAAGTTCAATCTGAAATCCCTCTGTTTGACTTTAGTGTGACTTTAGCCTTCTCTCTCTCTCTCTCTCTCCTTTTAAATTTCTCTGCCCTTTATTTTTACCAGAACACTTACTTCTCTACTTTTGGTCTCCTGTACAAAATGCAAATATTTTTTTTGTTTGCTTTGGTATTCTTTGCGGCTCTTTCTGGAAATATCAAGAGCAACAGTGGAGACAGAAGAGTTATATTACTGCATCCACATTTCCCTGAATTCAAAAAAACTGTAGTGGAGCTGCTGCTGGTTTTTTCCACATTGTACACCCTGCCTGTCTGATGCATGGGCACATTTTACAAGGCTTGTTGTTGTTTTTATTATTGTTATTTTTAAATCTCTGTTACAATGGAAGAAGATAGGAGAATCTGGAATAGGACATTAATACTGAGAGAGGAATCTCTTCCCCCCCTCCCCCCAAAACCCCAGGATCACATTATTTTCTCAGCTTCCCCTTTTTTCACTATTATAGAAGGTCTTTTTGGGTCTACCCTCAGATTTTAAAAATAAAGTTATTTTCTACTTATGCAAAACTACGGGAGCCTCCAATCAGTTGGTGTGGGGTTGGTGGCATTTTGGCTACCTTCATAGGCATCTTTCAGTCTCGAGAGACTATGTTAACATGCTCTGAATCGAGGAGTGTCCTCTCCAGAGCATAAAGCCTGGGTGAAGTAATATGGAGGATAGGCTGCTAATCAACCAGCAAATCCCCCCTCTCCACATTGCTGAAATGGTCCAATGGAAAGGCAAGAGCCAATACAACTGGTTCCAGCAACGTCGCAGGAGTTGGAAGAACGGCACGAACTGCCTTCGGGACTCCAGCTCCGGATTTTGCCTCGAGGTTAACTCCTGAAGCCTTTTCCACGAATGGATATAGCCGCAAGGCAGTGCAGGTTTGAAATCAGAGTTTTCCTTCTCCTAGATGGGCTGCCTTCCATGGCTGACGAGCCCCACCTACCCGGCCTGTTCTTTAATAGTGCAGAAGTATGATCTGACCGTTAAAACTTTCCTGCCTCCCAGGTGTATGCAAATCTAATTGGCTTTCCTATTTACCATATTAGGGCCAGATATAGAATCAGAGAATTTGAGAATTTCTGGTCCTGGGACACGCTCATTTAAAGCATAAATCCCCATCCCCTATGCCCCACCCCCCAGGCCATGGGGTGGGGGTGGGACCAAAAGGAAGCCCAGGAAAAAAAACTCCTCAGCAAAATGTCTATGCAAACATACCTGGCCTTTAGCCTCAGCCCAGCTTCCTGGGGAAAAGAGTCCAGGGTCCTGGGACACGCTCATTTAAAGCATAAAGTCCAAGCCCCTAGGCCTCACCACATCTTTACTACTCTCTCATCTTAAAAAAAAAAAAGGAGAAGGCTGTAGCCTTGCTCAGCTCGCAGAGAAGTAGGAGATTTGCTGGTCCAGAATGTGGAAGTTCTCTTGTATGGCTCATTCTGAGTGCAAATTGTTAGCAACAAAGGGCAGCAAGTTGTTATTGTTGGTTGTTGTAGTTACTATGGTTAAGGAGACAATGCAAAATTTCCTACTTGTACAATTTTCTGTCTCAGGTACCAAAATACACTGACTGGATTGCAATTTGAGTTTGCCAGGCAGTGATGTGGCAATGTGCTGGCTACCTATAGATATTGTATTCAGAGAATGAGTTCCTTATTAAGTATACAAGATTTTAAAAAGTAGAAATGGACAGTTTACTAATACAGATATTTGTCTGGATAGCTCAGTGGTTTAGATATCTAGCTTTATTCAATCCTGGTAGCACAACTGGATAGCTCAGCAGTTTATGTGTCCGGCTATGGGTTGGGAGTTCAATTTCCTTCTCTGCCTCCTATGAGAAGAACTAGTCTGTGTGGCTTTGGGCAATCTGCATAGTCTCAAGATACCTCCAGAAGAAGGGAATGGAAAACCACTTCTGTGTATTGCATACCTAGAAAACCCAGAGAAGAGTCACCATAAGTCAGAATAATAGCTAATGCGATTGCTCAACGAGCTTTAGATAGGGAGAATTCGCTTTGCGAAGATCGGTAAGCGTTTCGCTTACCGATCTTCGCAAAACGAAGCTCCGACGATCAGCTGTTTGGCGGACAAAATGGCCACCGGAAGCCCCAAAATGGCCGCGCACAGCGTTTTCGCGCCCTCCCCTTGCTTAACGAGGGCGCGAAAATGGCTGCCGGCCATAGGAAACCTCGCTGAACGGTGAGTAAAGGAGCCTTTTGGAACGCATTAAACGATGTTTAATGCGTTCCAATGGCTTTCCCTGTCCCGTTCAGCAATGTTTCGCTATAGCGAAGGTTAATCCGGAACAGATTAACCTCGCTATGCGAGGCACCACTGTATTTGCATTTGCATGCTTTCAAACTGCTAGGTTGGCAGGAGCTGGGACAAGCTACAGGAGCTCACTCTGTCACGTGGATTCAGTCTTACGACTGCTGGTCTTCTGACCTTGCAGCACAGAGGCTTCAGCAGTTTAACCCACAGTGCCACCACATCCCTGTTGGGAAGTACTTTGTGGTAAAAGCAGTGTGAGTCTCTCAAGTAACTGTATTAAGGATTGCAGTGATTACCAGGTTAAATTTTTTTAATTTTGGGTTTCCTTAACAGCAAAACTCCTCAAATTTCAATCATAAGGGACTTTGTGCACACAGAGTTGAAGAATGTCTTTTTCTTTTCAGTTTGTCCATTAAACTAAAGTGTCATTCAAGCTAGCCAGCTGCCTTCCGCTGCCATTATGAATAAATTACCAGATCAAATCTGGAGACCTACGATAATTTCTCTGACGGAGAAGTGATTTGGGGCTTTGTTTAAAAGCCACTTATTGCATGCAAGCTATGGACATCCTAACTGCTATTATCAACTCCACCTCTCCTTGTCTCTCTGCCACCATCTTAGCTAGCCTGTTGCATGATAATTGCTGGATAATCACTTTTATTACATTGCACTTAAAGGAACAGCTGGCCTCAGCACCTGTCAGAGCAGGTGGTTTTACAGGCTGCAAACATCTCACCAGTTTTCATTATGTAGCCTAGGTGGTTATGCATTTTAATTGACATCAAAAGACACTGAACCTTTATCTTGTGATGCAGTGGTTAAACTGCAGCCAAAACTGTGTTCATAACCTGAGGTTCAATCAGCTTTCCATCCTTCTAAGGTTGGCAAAATGAGTACCCAGCTCATTGGGGGAAGGGGAAGCAATGTGTAGCCTGCATAAGTAACTTGTAAACTGCCCGGAGAATGCTTTAAGCACTATGGGGTGGTATATAAGCAGCACACTATGCTTGGCTTTTTAAAGCCTTATGCACAAAGTGGCTAATACATCAGGACTACTTTGGTAGGGACACAGAGTAAATGGGCACTCTCCTCTCTGTTTCTATGTTGGCACTGAATTTGGTTGAGTTAAATTCTCAGACAGAGAATAGTGCAACTGTTAAGAATTTCCAAAGATGTTAGAGAGTCATACTTTCTTTAAACTTTATATTTTTACAATAAACCAAAGCAGCCATTCAAGTGAAGAACAACAAGAAAATAATAGGGTGGCCACTTTGTGGCTGTGACTTGTCATCCCAGAAAGCCCCAGAAATCTTCCACTAGGAACCGGGCTTAGTGATGGCCGCAATGACATGGAACACAGGACTTGTTGATGTCCACCAGGGTCCCTCCCTTCTGACTTTCACGAAACATATGAAGGCTGATCTTTTCAAAAAGGCTTTTGGTAATATCTTCCCTCTTTGATACTTTCACAGACCCTAGTGTTTCAATTAGAGCTATGTTTGCTGTTGCCTAGATACAGTGGTGCCCCGCATAGCGAGCACACAATTTAACGATGAATCCGCATAGCGACACATTTTTGCAATCGTTTTTTCGATCGCATTGTGATGTTTCTAATAGGAAAACATCGCATTGCGATGACTGGTAAGTGTTTTGCTTACCGATCTTCACATTGCGATGTTTTAAAAACAGCTGATCGGCGGTTCCAAAATGGCCGCTGGGTGAAGAAAATGGCCACCTGCAGTGTTTTCGTGCCCTGCCCTCGCTTACCGGGCAGCAAAAATAGTGGCCAGATGGAGGATTTTCCCCATAGTGGTGAGTTTTTCCCCATAGGAACGCATTAAACGTGTTTTAATGCGTTCCTATGGGGTTTTTAGTCCTGCATAGCGACGAAGCCGGATAGCGACGATTTTTTCAGAATGGATTATTGTCGCTATGCGGGGGCACCACTGTATCCTTTCCATTGTTTTTTAATGTGTTTACGTGTGGGAGAGTTACCGCTACTTTTATTATTGCTGTAGGCCACCCAGAAGAGTGCTGTGACTAGATGAGTGGGATACAAATGTAATCAATCAATCAATCAATCAACAGACACAACACTATCACTGATGCACTCCATTGTTGTTGTTCCATTGATCGGCTACCCTTCTAAAAATCTCAGCAGCCAAACACAATTGGAAAGTTACACATGCCAGTATTAAACAAGGCCAGCGGCAAGAAGGTACATCCTACCTTTTGACTTTCTTTCATAGAAACTCCTCCCTCGGGGCGGGGCATTTTCTATGTACAGATTTTCGAGATCTTCCTGCCATGAATCTGGGTTGAAGTGCTTGAGCAATTCCTCCACCGTATCAAACTCCGCCACGGTTTGATCCAGAGCTTCCGCAATAAGAGTAGGGTCAGTCACTGATGAAGAGTGATAGGAAACGCCCTAAGAGTGACATACAGTGCAGTGTATTTTGAAAAACATTGTGTGCAGAATAACAAACAAGCCAAAGACAATGTTTCCAGAGAATCCATTCATACAAGACTGTGGCAGCAATGGTGTAAGTGTGTCTATTCATTAATAGCAGTTTGATTGCACATGAATAATGTTGGCTCCATGATACAGGTTTCTGGGGTTATAGTTTGGTGACCTCCTTAGGGTTCTCTGCTATACATGAGAAAGTGCAGTAGAGTTCTCTAATGCAGAATTCAAAATATGCCACCAAACTACAAATCCCAGGATAACATAGGATGGTGCCATATCAAGTAAGGTGAGTCAAACTGCAATAACTGAGTAGGTACACCTGAAGTATATACATGTACACCAGAGATGGTGCTACCTTCCTACTTCTGAGTTGGGCAGGGAAATGTTGCCTATATCACTGCCCACATCACCACACCTCCCGCATACCTCTTTGGTACTCTGATATTGACACTCTTGAAAAGGAGGGAGAAAGGAAGAAAAGGAATACAGCATCAGCCTTTAAACTGCTGCCTCCACGGCACTCTTCTTTCTTGGTTATTTTAAGAATGCCTAGTTTCTAGTGTCATGAGGACCAAGGATTTGTGGGAGAGATGGCTGAAAAGAATCACTTGCGGTCACCCTTTCCCGGATTACTTCACTCTGCCTAAAACTTGACCTGGCTCGGGTGAAGACATATCCTGTGCGCAAAGACATAAACCCACACAACCAAGCTGTTGATGATTTATGAAATCAGGAGTTATTTATACGGTGGCAGCAATTTGTGTGACACTTTACCTAGTCAATGTCTTCTTTGTTGAATTTTACTCTTGGGTGCCCCTTGAAACATGGGACACAAATGTAAAATTCAGCAAGGAAGACACAACAGAGGAAGGAGCAGGCAATGGAGGCAGAGAGAAACAGGAGTAAAAATATATGGTCACTTGAGTCGCATATTCTTGGGCTTAATTATAGCATCATATGGGGCTATATGTCAGAAACTTCCCACAGAAGGAAAGTGTTAAAGAAAAAGAAAAATCCTGAAATAAGAGGATTGGTCTCATAGAATTGTTCCAATCATAACAGCCAGCAAAGAAGAAAAGGTGCCATTGTTTGTGAAAGAAATCACATGGTAATGGAAACGTGTATTTCCTGATTTTAGGACATCTTCCTTCCATGCACATAGGGAAGTGGTTTGGAATGAAGGCTGTGTTGAGCTCCTAGTGGCCCATCACAAAACAACATCCAAGTTATTTTCCAAATGCAAAATAAGGAAAAGTCACAGATGTCTTTGAGGAGAAAGGCAGGGTAAAAAAATATTTTCAATAAATAAATAGTAAATAAATGTCTTTCACAATTTAATGGACCCCCACTCCTAATGACATGTTCATTGTATCATCTAATTTGGGCCTAAGCAACCTCAAGGCAGCCGAGAGTCTGCAGGAGTGCACACCACAGGCAAGGATGTATAGGTATGTAAAAGTTTAGAAGTAAGAGGAGACTAGGCTACAGAGGGCTTTTAAGAGTTCAGGCCTCCTGCTAGACACTGGAAAGGACAGTAGAGATTTAAGAAGGTGGGGCCATTAATCTGCCACATGACTGAGCTTTACAGCAAGGTTCTGGGTAGAGGTGATGAGAGTGAGAGAATATGAAAGATGAAAGAAATGTCCTATGCACTCTAATACTTTTCTTTGACAAATAATCCTCTGCTCTGGAAAGAATAATTTTGATGATTTGGTCACCAAGCAGAAAAAGGAACTTCTCTTGGCAGAAGTGGGCAAGTCACGGAACATATCACAAAACTTGCTTGAGAGTTCATTGGGAAAGTGGCAGTTAAACAAACGGCAAAGAGGTTATTGCCACAGTGCTGTACCCAATATTTGAAGGAGCTGTCTGTCTTCCATTTTGATTTGTTGCCCTCCATTTTGTGTAGCTAGTGATGCTCCAATGTTCGCACGATTTTGAAACAGACAAAGGACATGCAAGTTGCAGTATGTTTTGGGAACATGAATGGAGTTGGAGGCAGAGGTTCCTTATCATATGCCACTAACAAGCTTATTTACTTCAGCTGTGCACACCTAAGCTTATCATGGCACAATCCTGATATAGGAGTAGTTCACATGCTGGCATCAGCCTTCAAAGCATAACATAGCAATGATTTATTTCCCAGTTGCAACATATCAGTTTAAATAGCCAAAAGTGTATAAAGATTGTTTGCTTTACTCAATGGGTGTTCAGACGTCTTGGCTTGTGAGCCATGCTGTCCTCCATTCCAAACTATTGGGTACACCTGTGTGTTGTAAATTAAGCAATAAATACGTCTCCTTTTAAGTAAGCCTGGAGGTTGTCTGCTGTTTCCTGGGGATTGTTTCAAAAACTGCTCCTCTGGTCAGAGAGTTTTACACATGTGTAGCAGAAAAGGTTCCTGAACTGCAGGTATGAAAGCCTTTGACCAGTTAGTAGAGGAACCCTGAAACCTGTAATTTTTTAAAAGGAGGACTTCTGCAAGAAGACAAGGTCAGAGATTTTGGCACAGAGCAGCATTTAACAACCGGTTACTTTATACAGAATATTGGCAATTCTCATCTAATGAAAGCCAGGTCAGTAGGGATATTCTTATTTAGCCAGGAAAAAAAATTACAAAGAATTCAGAATCTTTTTTTTAAGTCAACATGTTTAGTTTTTGTTTTAAAGGCCATATTTCTTCTATAGTTATTCAGACAGTCACATGGGTGGTTATGTGGTAGGAAAATAGGAAACTTCTGAAACATTTTCTAACTAAAACAGCCACAAATCACTAAAGACAGAAAGATGTAACTAACTCATTTTAGAAAGTAACTTTCCATGTTCTGGTCAGGACATTGCCAGGTAAACCTCTGGGGTTGATTCTGGGAGATATAAGCCTGGATGTCACATCTCCCCTGTTATTTCAACATGATTTCCCCCTCTTTGTGATCCTTAGCCATGTACCAATTCTTTTAGCCTTCTTTTATTCAGATAAAGTGGCATCAGAGTACTTACCAAGACAGGGCTTGTGACTGATTCCCAGTTGGTTTCAGGCAGAGCAGGCTGGAGATCATCCTGAAGATCAAACTGAATCACAAGGGGAAAACAAGCAAATAAACCAGATTTTGCAATCAGAATACTGCCTTACCTTTTCTAAAAGCATGAATTATCTGGTCACTCAGTGTTTTAATCTAAAATGCAAGTCTTGCTCCTGAGTTTACTGGTCCTTGTTCTTTGGCTGTGTTCATGTGAAAAAGTCCAACATACACATACAAGCAGGTCTAGATGTCACTCTCCTGCTGCTTGTAGCACCAGCTGCCATCTATGTCATTCCATGTGTGCACCCAGCCCCTCTACGTCATCCAAAAGGAGGCCCCAGCACTGGAGACAGTTCCATTTCTTGCCCCATTGTTGCATAAGGAGGGAACAAGAAGAAGAGAAAGCAACGGTGGCAATAGATCTCTACCACAGTAGGAATAGGAGACACTGCACATGAGCCACCAAATTCAGTTCTACATATAGCTCCCTATTCGACATATGCTTGGCTCTGAGGTGTCCTCACTGAGAGTGGACACCACAATGAAAGGAAAGAACAGGGAAATTGCAAGTACCATTGTATGGAAGGCTCTCCAGCTCAACTTTCTCATTTTACTTTGGCACCAAACCCCCTCAGAACTAGAAATTCAGAGTAACATGGGCCTGTTAAAAATGGTGGAGGTGGAGCAATGCATTTGTTATCCATCGCATTCTGCTTTTTTTTTAATTTCCAGAATTATTTTTATTAAATATGTTGCCAGAGACTTTGGATAGGAGAGAGAGCCATTTGTAATACATATGATAACCACAGCCAGAATACTATACGCATGGAAACGGAAGAAAACTGAAATACCAAACCGTGAAGAATTTACAGAAAAGATTATGGAAGTGGCGAAGATGGACATATGAACAGAAGCTTTAAAAGACAATTCAATCCAACAAGCAACTGAAAAATGGGACCCTATATATAACTGGATCCGTTCTGTAACCTGAAAGCAGTCTGAGTGGGCCTCATGATATTGCAAGCTCTGCCCAGAAATGCCCTATTGAGTTAAATTGTTTTATTGTTATAACAATATATTGTTGAAAAACTAAAGGAGTCATTGTGTCCAGTATCTTTGGCTGTGCAGAAGACCAAAAAAAACAAAACAAAACGAAAAGCAAGTTTCACTTTCACATGCATGCATGCATGAAAAAATATCTCATGATAATCCCTTTTAAATACTGTACAGGATTTCAGCCTTGAATTACTAAATGCAGTAATAACTATTTAAAAGGGATTAAAAGTAAAACTTGCTTTGTTTTTTTTGTTTTGTTTTTTTGTTTTTTTGAAACTTGCTTTTTTTGTTTTGTTTTGTTTTGTTTTGTTTGTTTTTTTGGTCTTCTGCACAGCCAAAGATACTGGACACAACGACTCCTTTAGTTTTTCAACAATATATTGTTATAACAATAAAACAATACAACTGAAAAAACAGAACACTTCATCTTAAAAACTTTTTTTAAAAAAATGGAAAACAATGAGAACAGCCAAAGTAGTAACACAGACACCAATGAAACAATATGTCTTTTATGTTGTAAAGGCTCTTCTCACTCCTCTGATACTGTGGCAAATTGAGCTATGTTATAAAGTGCTAATTATCCTGGTTTCACAAAAGAGATTTTGCTTTGCTGGAAAGGTACATTAACAATGTTCTCTTCTACCTCATGTCCTACATGTGTAGTAGAAAGACAGCTTCATGATAAGGGCCCTGATGGCAAGGGGAACATTGGTATTCAAGTTAATGAATGCCTACATAGAAATATGAGACAAAACAAAGCTCTGTTCATTTATTCCCCATGTGTTCCACATAATATAAAAGTGGAGTGGGAGGGAAAAGGAGTGTTTCTCCCTTCTCCTGTCGTCTTCCTGCCAGTTCCACCCATCACCTTTCCTCTGTTAGGATTCACTGGGATGTAAGATGCAGCAGCCCAATGCTGACCTTGTCACTGTTGAAGAGGACTGTTCACTGTGGAGACAGATTAACAAGGCAAAAAGGAAACAAATGGCTTAATAACTCAGAAGACAGATTTTTGAATAGTGCTGAAGGAAAGATTTCTAGACCTTATGGTTGTTGTGGGTTTTTCGGCCTCTTTGGCCGTGTTCTGAAGGTTGTTCTTCCTGATGTTTTGCAAGCTCCTGTGGCCAGCATCTTTAGAGGACTGAAGTAGGAACTCTGTCCATGCTCTGTTGGTGTTTGTTGGATAGTATTTATAGCTGTGAGAATGGCTTTTTGTCTTTTTTCAGGATAATCTCTCCTCCCTTATCACAAAAAAACACACTGATCACCCTATCTCCTGAAAAGGACAAAAACTGTTCCCACAGCTATAAATACTCAACTATTCAACAAACAGCAACAGAGCATGGACAGAGTTCCTGCTCCAGTCCTCTGAAGATGCCAGCCACAGAGATTGGCGAAACGTCAGGAAGAACAACCTTCAGAACATGGCCAAAGAGCCTGAAAAACCCACAACAGCCATCAGATCCCGGCTGTGAAAGCCTTCGAGAATACATTTCTAGACCTTGTTTAAGAAGACCTACAGCCAACTTCCATGTCTGCAGGTTTGCCTATCTAAAATAGGCGAACAAGAAAAAAAGTGACCCCAAGGGAAAGTGAAAGAAGAGAGCTAAGACTAATAATCTGCATGTATTTCTAGAAAAAAACAAATGGAAGAGAACACATAGCCAACCAGCCTATCATACCGACAGGTTCACATGATTCGATATGTGAACTGATGCTGTATTTGAACACTGGAAGCCCTCATAATTTAGGACTCTTTAAGTAACAAAGTAATTGTTCTGTGCTTCAAGTAGCCCCTGATTTATGGCAACCCTATGAGTGAGCAATCTCGAAAATGTCCTCCCTCAGCAATGTAGTCAAAATTTCTGAATTTTCTCATCCTTGATGAAAAAGACATTAGCACATTGAGACATCCTGTTTTTTTTAAAAAAAATCCCTGAGAGATTGCTTGTTACAGTACAAGAATTAAAAAATGTACAGGGTGATGGGAGTTTCAATCCAAATGTATCCAGAGGGCCCGATCATCCTGGATTTAATACATAAGCCTGATATCCTCCTCATATTTACCTAGCAGTAAGAATGATAGTGGAGAGGCAGTGAAGACAGTCTCCGACCAGAACTCAGAAGATCTGGGTTCAAATTTCTACTCAGTCATAGAAACTCACTAAGGGGGCCCAATGGCATTTCACCTACTTCAAAAATCCCATTAGGTTTGCCATAGGTTGGCAGGCACTTGACGACATGTAACAATAACAAATGCCATCACATACAATAGATTTTACCTCTGAATGGAGATGTACAGAATTGCACTTTCACTCTATAGTCTAAAGAAACATTTCAGTTTTAAATTTTTAGCCTTTCAAAGGTGCGACTGATTAATTCAACATACGTATTTTATTTGTCTCCTCAATGGATCCGGTAGCAACTACATGTAATTAGAGGGAAATAAGAAAACAAAAATGAGAGGGGGGGAACCTGATAGAGTTTCAGCAAGGCTGTCTTAACTTCCTCTCCCACCCTCAGTTGGATATAACTATTTTTAAAACTCTGAACATACACTTAGTCAAAATGGACACTCAGAGCAAGGATATATTTAGGTCTGTAGAGGAAGACAACACCTGTTCAGTATTTGAAATAGTGGAAAGGGTGAGGTGTTACCACCTGTTCTTGGTTTTTACATTCTGCTCATTTTGGCTCAATAATATTATAGTTCCTTTAGTAAAAATGAACCATCCATTATTCACTATGAGCTATTTGTGTTCTGTGACTGCTTAGCACAGCTGCAGTCACTGAGAGCCTCTGAAGGGCTTCAAACCCTACCCAATCTTCTGTTTATATCCCTAGCTTCAGTGCCTGCTTGTACACTCAAGTAAGCATACATACAAATAAGCATATACACTTTACATCCACATTGCTTGTAAAAGTTTACATATGTCTGAACCATGCTTCTTATTTGCGGTATTAATGGCCTTACTGATTGTGTCCAAGTCAAGGGCTTTATTAATTTTAAAAGCGAGCTGCACAGAGAGCCCAATGACTTGACCTTTATTCACATGTTCAGCCTGATGGACTCAAACAGGGAAGGAGGTGGGAAGGGATGTTCTTAAGCTTTGCCCCTCCTCTACCTGGAAGTCCCACAGATCTTGTGTTCAGCGTGTGGTCTTCACATGTTCACTGAACACAAAAAGCTCTGGTAACTTTTCAGAGGGTGGGGGAATGGAGGTGGGGTTAATGTGCCCACCCTGGTGCCACGTTTTCAAATCTAAGTGGTTTATGAACGATGAATAAATATTGCCCTTTTCTCTTTAAACTTAATGTGTTGTTTGTTTATTACAAGATTTAGGATCTTAGTGGTTAGTCTCTCATACATTTATTCTACCACCAAAATCACATTTGGCCTTTCCTAGGAGATATGTTGCTAAAATAGCTCAACTAGATACGTTTATCATGAATTATAACACTCAGAAGTTACAAGATTTGTACATATTGAACTGAGCTTGAAAAGTGGGTGAGACACTGAGAGATACCATTTTAAAAAAACAAATGAAAGCACAGCAGAACAAGAGCTTTTCCAAGTTCTCCTACTGTGTATTTGGCTAGCATAAATAGGTCATGATTTGTTTTCAGTTCATTTATAAAGATTTTGCCAAAATTTACAAGTCACATGTTCCAGAATTCCTTGTTTTAAAAATCTGAATACAGGAGTGGCAAGAGAGATAGATTCCTTGTCTCCTACCATAAATGAAGCATGCTACCATTTCAAGACTCTATATTAATTTTATATTCCCTACTTTCTCATCAGGAGGACCCAAGACAACTTACAATATTAAAGTAAGGAACATCTAAAGCTAAAAAAAGGATTTTAGTATTGTTTTTAAAAATTACATAGATATGATAAAACTGGTAGATAAAGATGGTTTGAGGAGGACCCAAGACAACTTATAATATTAAAGGAAGGAACATTTAAAGCTAAAAAAAGGATTTTAGTATTTT